TTGCACGCAATCGAATTCACGTGCAAGAGAAATTGTAATTGGATTCCAGAGTGAGGGCTTACGCCAACCACGAGCCATTCAACCCCTATTGGGTTAACTCATTCCCACTTTGTCTCTGTCCCTACATATATATTCCCTTCAACTCGCGAAAGCTCAGAGAGGCCCAACTCGAGCCCTTGTCGATGTCACAAAGTATAATACGAACTAATTACCCTGTTGTCATCAAAGCCATCCTCAACACCCACTCTTCCAACTGGGTACAATGAGTGCCCACTTTTGCCATGTTTTCTGCATACGCTGGCATCGGAAACTCAACGTTTCAGAAAGATCGGTAGCACACAGAAGACTCCTAAGAACAAGGAACAAGTAGCAGTAAAAAATGAGAGGAGAAAAAGTAGAAAAGAGGGATGCAAAAGCACCTTCTGAAGATTCCTTTTGGTTGATTAGCCAAGTGGGAGAGTGAAGACTCTTTGCCTTTTTACCTCAAAGGAAATCAAAGCAACCGACTCATCCAACCACGATGACCACCTTGATGCTGAGGAATCGTTGAAAAATATCTAATAATTAGCCTGCTTTTCGAGTTGAAACTCTGTCGTGCTTGACAATAGCTTGCTCTAATTGATAAACGAGCTCTCTTGACAAACAGTTATTCATTAAAAAAGCTCACTCTTAATTGAAAAATTATGAAAGATTGTTGAGAATCATTAGTGGACAGTAGATGATGGAATAGATTGTTTTAATAATCATCCTGGAAAAAAAATATTCCACCTTGTCTTGATTATTTTTTTTCTTTTCATCAAATAGACTTTCTTGATAATATTATTGATGATACAATGTCATCTTGATAGTTGGCTTTTGTTATTGTAGGGTGCATTAATGATGTTGATTCTTCCACGACCAACTAAGAATGCAATTAATTCTAGAAGTTTCTTCAACATTGAAATCAATGTTGCCAGCATTCCTGAAATTATTTTAAACGATTACGTGAATTATTCTCAGTCAATTTAGAAGGCGAATATTATTGTGTTTGAATTTCTTGATGAATAGTTGGATAAACAAGAATTTTCCACTTTTGTTTTTTCATCAAACAATTCAATAACTACATTCTTCTATTTTCATCTTCTTCCATCTATTATGAGAGTAATTCAATTAAATGAAGGGCTGTCAAAAATTGTAATGTAAACAGTAACACTGAGCTGCTTATTGAAACTCACTTAAGTGACACATAATACTCTGTACATCCAGGAAGAGGAGAAGTAATTTTATACAAAGCTTATATAAATATAGCATCAACTATCTAGAGTGTATGAACAATAAATTTTAACAAAATTTAACTGAACATTGGTGATAGAAAAGCATGACTCTTCTTGAGCAGCCCTAGCAGGAAGCAAGATTAGTCTTGGTTCAACATTGGACCAAAGTTAGCTAGATTATTCTAGTGTTGGACCAGGAATCAATCTTAAATGATTGATTAGAATTAGAAATGATATTTTTGATGGCAGTTGATCGCCTGCCACAATGATACTCAACAAATTAAAAAAGCTTTATTGGCCACAGCTTAGAGTGTTTGTGAATAGCAGTAAGCATAAAATAATAAGCCTCTTTTTGACGTTTGACATTATCGTTCTACAACAAAACCTCTTTTATATATTCTAGATCCCTAATAGCAAGTGGGAAAAAATTACAACCCCTGCAGCGTCATCAGGGTCAGGCTGAGGAACATCAAAGTCCCGAAACAATTGTTTGGCAGTGGCTCACTCTACTTTCCATTCCATCATCCCTTTTGGTCGTGTGTTGTGTCCTCGAGTACCTTCGCGAATGAAATACACGCAAGTTCCCTTTGATTACCTCCACGCTTGTCTTCCTTCAATCTCTCTGCCCCCACTCTAGCTTTTTCTCAGAGTAGTATATCAAGGACCTGAGTTGATGACTTTTGTGACAATGTTTCTGTGAGTGCGTGAGAGTTTCGATGGGCTTTTTACCATGAAAACAAAAAGAAATACAAGTGGAGACGAATATAATGCAAAGCACAAAGAGAGTACGTACTCGACGAACTCATTACATTAGTGGTGCTCGTTTGGAGGAATATACTTGCAGTTCTTGAGCTGTGATGCCCGCATGCGGACGACAGTATTTCCGATTTGTCAAACTACTTGTCAGCATGTATGAAGGATATAAAGCACTAGCAGAAGCAGCAGCTTCAATGCAGATATCAGCAAAATATATTCCCATTCGACAGATGCATTGCTTGTTATCAACATTCTGGACGTTCATCGCGTTCAGCGAATTTCTGACTTTGATGTAAACTGGTAGCAATGCTGCTGAATATTTCGAAATATTTACTTGTTAGAGCAACCTAACTCTATTACATCGTTTAATTTGTTGGGTGAATATTTTTTGCAAACAAAGACTTGACATATTTTTTCCTTTAATTGGTTACTTTACCCCTTGACTTCTAGCTTCTTTAAATATTCACACTTTTTTAATGACCAAGCTTACTCAGTGAGTAATTTTTGTTTGTTTAAAATTAAAATTAATTAGATTCGTGATAGTTTGCCATTTTTATTTTACTTTAAATTTTATTTTTTTTATATTTTAATGAATACTTTGTCATCATTATTTTTTCCAGAATCTCTATCAAAGTTTTTGCAATATTAATGAAAATATTTTCTGTCAAAACTATTTATTTTGTTGATTCTTTCATTTCTAAAGAATAACTGATAATATTGTAATACTCCGAGTGATTTATCTGTAATTAAAATTCTAATTTTTTATCCCTAATTTAATATGCAATCGTATTTTCCTCAAAGCTATTATAGAGACGAGGCAATAAACGCAAAATCTTAGCATGAGATTCATAGCCTGTTAGAGATAGGTTCCGCTTAGTTTTGGCTACAACCATATTTCACCTACTATCTTGTTTTACCTTGCATTCTACACTCCACCTAATCTTTCCTACTTATCATCACTGAAAACTATGAGAGTCATTAGTCGCTGTTGTTTAAGCAAACATTTGCCACTCTTTATGATAATATCCTTATTACATTTACTTTTAAATTATCAAGTACAATATTAAAAAATAATTCAATAAATTACATCAATTAATGAAACTGATAACAATTGTTTCAATTCAATAATTAAGACAAATAATAAAAAAAAAGTATTAAAATAGAAACTAAAATTTAGAAAAATATTAAAATGGTCTAGGATGCATTTTTGACAATTCTTTTTTTGCTTTGGATGATTTGAGCATCGAAACATATTTACAAAGAAGATTGAAATGAAGAGTAGAGATCAATCTCTCAAGAAGATTGACGAGCTCAGATAAAAATTGTGCCGATGTTTCGTCTTCTTCTCACGAGGACGGAGACTCAGTAGGAATAGAAATCCACAGAGGAAGAAAGGGGGGAAAGATGCAGAACCAAACGATTAAGAAATGAAGACTGTTATTAATATCTTAATCACAAATATACATAGATATATATGTACATAAATATGACAACATGACTGTCGTTTATTTTTTGTCCTGGCGTCTGGTTTATTAGAATAAAAAGAAAATTACTCAAGTATATTTTATGTATTATATAGCTTTGAAAAAATAGTCAGAAGTATGCATATAACTACAGTGAGGAGATTTTTTATGACCACTATATAGATATAGAATGCAAACTATAAAATAAAAATTCAATTGATTCAATAATCAGTCCATTCAATCTCGTCAGTTGATTACGAGAAAAGAAAAAACATTTTTATTTCATTCTCTCTAATCTCTTAGGCAAACATTTGCTATAATCAACCTTTCTGCTTCCTGATTTACGGGCTGATAAATTTTTAATTTTTTCCCCGAGTCAACTAAACATTCGCATTAACTATTTATTGAATAAATTTCGGAAAAGAGAAATTAAAAATCTCCTCTTGCATTAGCTAAGTCGTTAAACATTATTTCTCATGTTACATTCATTATATAACATTTAGATCTTGCGAATTATTTGATCAAGAATCATATAGTTGTAATTTTTATGGATCGTTTAACATTTAGTAAATACCCTTTGAGTGTTCACATCATCGATAAACGGTTTTATTTGAATTTTATTTTATTTTTATTCATTTCTTCCACTTCGATTTGCAATTAAACTAAACTGAAGTTGATTACATAAATATTATTTCCAGTTGAAAATTTTCAGTGTAAAAAATTATTTTTACAAAGAAATGAATTTTTAGAATTTTATTCAATCAAAAAATTAAATGAATTTATTTGAAAAAAATGTCCAAACATTATTCTGCTCAATTGTCTTTATAAAAAATTGGCAATTTTTTATTTTATTTATTTGAAGTACTGTAAATTTAATATCTTTCAATTTCTCACTCTTTATGGCCCTGATTTGTATTTAAAAAGTTGAAGCAAATGTTTTTGTATCCTTTTATCAAAAAAGAATAAGAAGCTTTAATTATATTAGCAAAATTTTGCCGACTTAAAATTTCATCAATTTCATAAATATTTATTTTAATCATAAGAAAGTTTTGATAAGAATTGTCTTAACAAATATTTTAAAAATAAAAATATCAGATAGTTTGCATTTGAAGATATAGGCAAGATCAATTAAGAGAGAGTGACGATGACATTTGAAAGGTTTTCATACCATTTTTTTTTCTTCCAATTCAGATGAAACTTTTCTCATAATGCACTTCGAACGCGGAAACACACAACGTGATCGCACATGCGTAAATTCTTGCGGCAGTTAAAAGAGGATTTTGAGGACATTCAGAGGAATATATTTGTATCATGTAAGTGTGGATGAATGTGAGAATGGACAAACTATCACGCAGACGCATTACATTCAGAAGCTTTAGGGCTGCACAGTTAGAAGAAAGGAGCGAGATAAAAATTGCGATACGCGCACATGCAATGTTCAACTAGACATCTAAAGCATGCGCTCTCGTGTCCTAGCATCGATAAAAGCACGAGGCGTTCGAGCGAGCGTGCATTTCTCGCGCGTCTACTGTGCAACCTGGTCCAGACCATAGGAACTTTCTGATGCAGAAGTTGATGCCTTTTTTCGGAGACTTTTATTGTCATTAATTCTCATACTGCTTTCAAAAGAATCTTATCAAAGGTGTATGCTTCCTGTTGTCTATAAGAGTGAATAAATTAAAGTGTTGTGATAAATTTATTTTTATTAAACATTTCATTTTTTTTTAATTAGTTTTTTTTTCCAATAACTCACTTAATTTTATTCCAACGATAATAATGTTCGATCAATCTTAATCGAGCTCATTGCTGATAATTGTGATTTAAATTTGATTCAAAAAATTAATTTTCAGTTTAAAAAATTTTTTAAACAACAAATAGAGAAACAAATAGTTGTATTAGTGGTGTAAGTCGAAGTGAAATAAGTTTTTGACAATTTAAAAAAATTGATAAACTTATTTTGAGTTCACCTAAAGATAAAAAAAGTTTGAAATGAGAAAGTTGATCATTAATTGATTGTTATATAAATAAACTAAAATAATAAACTCGAAAACAATAGTGAAGTTAATTCGACTTAATTCACATCTCGAGGCTGAGGGGATTACTGTAATCTAATCTAAGAAAGTAATCAGGTAAGAAATCAAGATTGACTCTTGATTACGTTGGTGTCCTGACATGAAATAATTGCACACATTATAGCCCCATTTTGCAATAATTGAAATTGAAATACACATTACTCTTGAGAAAGCCTACTCAATTATTTTATTATCTATTATCATGCTTCCTACGAACAAAAATTGTTTAACAATTTTTGTTATCTATTCTTCAAATAAAGTATTTTTATAAATTTAAATTAGCTTTGTACTCATTATTGCATTTTTTTAAATGAAAAACAACTTAACTTTCTTCTCAAAGTATTATTGATAAATTCTCGATTATTTAAACAGGAAAATAATTGACTTGAAAAATTCTACCATTTAATGTATTTAAATGAATTCATTTACAACAATTGAATAATGAAATTCGTGATTATTGTGAATTTTTTCCTTCGAATAACAGAATTTATGATGAAAAACACGAGGGGAATTTGAAAAAGAAATTGTTAGATAAATAGAAATCGAAACGAATCAAAAAAAATATGCTGACATAATATTGTGTTTGCTTTAAGCTACATAATACTATAGGTCATAGTCCACTTCGGGCGTTCTTATAATGAGCCATTTCAAATGAACCAAGTGACATAGAGAAAAGCGTGTAATCCCGTTACAGAGTCGTCTCATTAAATTCTGTAAATTCACCATTGTATCCAGTACTCGTAAACACCTGGTCTCACTGATATCTGCCGGATTCATATCAATAGTCTGTCCATCAAAGTTAATTCTATTCAATTTACTTTTGTCAGAATTTATCTAGGAATATGTTGGGTTAAATAAAAAATTATTATTATTAAATCATTAATATCATTTTTAGTTAAATGATCTAGATAATTATTTTGATTTAAATTTTTTATGCCACTTTAGAGAAATAAGTTCAAATACGATAAGCTGCCTAATAATATGTCCACTGCTATTTGGTGAATGATCAGTCAGGAAAGATTGAGGCAATATGGGGTACCTGGTATAACATGAGGTATATTAAAAAATAATGAGGTACTCTAGATAAATAAAAATCTATTCATGTCAATTTTATATTTTTATTCAAGAGCTATCACAAACCATCATAATCGAAATAAAAATAAACATAATTTCTTAGTATCTCTACTGCATAAAATATTATTAATTAACTCTTAACTGCCATGTTGACATTTTAAATTAATTCCAAGAAATACTAAATAGTAATTAATAGTATTTCATGTCCTAACTCATCATTCACTGAATAATGATGGTCATTCATTAGGTATTTTACTTCGTGGATATTTAGTTAAAACAACAAGATTTGAAATGATTAAAATGAATGCACTAGATTGCCATGAAATTAGATTAAATTCCTTCACTTAAAAATAAAAGGTAATTAAAAGGATGAATGATCATTCTGGTGAAATAAATGTGAATAATAATGAGCCAAGAATAAATAAAAATAAATGTCAAGTAAAATAAGTAAAATAATATAGAAGGAGGTATGGTTTTAACCTAGTGTAGCAATTACCCCTAAAGCTATGCATCACAATTAATTTGTAATTAAATCCTCTTGACAGAGAGTGAGGGCGTGGTTCATGCAATAACCGAGTCTATCCAAGAGTAGAGCTGCATAGTGGGAGGGTATAAAGCGTATTATAGGACCTACGGTGACAGCCGGAAATAAAGGGACGACTCACCATATTAACGTAGAGCTCGGTCAAAGGGTTACTTTCTGGTTCGTCTCTCATTGCCAGAAGCTATCGATCCACGACGTTGACAGCATTAAATTGCCATTTATTGGTTCTCGAAAATACGGATATCTGAATTTAGTAAATATTTCTGAACGTATGTATGTGATGACAAAGAGCATTTTAACACCACCATACATACACACATCTTTTCACTCATGTCAATACATGTCCCACTTTATCTTTGATTTTGAAATCACATATCGATTTATCGACAGCTGTTATGTTATGTTATTACCTTTGTTCTCATACAACTGTCCTGTCATATTGGATTTTATGTTTAATTAAATTTTCAGTTACGAGAAAATTTTGTTATTTTATTGAATTTCTCGTTTTAATGATTTTTTCTTGTTTTTTTTTTGTAGCGAAATTCCTGAATCATAAAATATGAAATAATTATTTAGAATTAGAGCTTTACGTTCTAACAACTTATTTAGTTATAATTGACAGCTTTACGACTTGCACAGGATGATTTTTTTCGGGAAAAATACACTGCTAGGACTGTGGATCGAACCCAGACCTTCCACTTAAGCTATCCCAAACACGGGAATATTCTCCTATTTTTCGTACTTGCACTCGTTTTAATGTAGCTCTCCTCTACTCTACCATCCCTCTTATATCACGAAATGCATTGTATCATAGTTAATTTAACTTTTTTGTTGACAAATGGGCTAGAATTCTAATTGTCCAAAAAAATACATCATCAATATTAAATATTTTTATGTAGCACCAAAACGCAATTATAGTATAGTTGCAATTATTGCAGTAAATAAAAAATTATTTAAATAAAAATTTTTATCGAAGGTATTAGGACTTTATTATTAATGGCAATGATTAAACAGACTTTCATAAGATGGATGAAAATTAAAAGAATGAAATGACCAACATAAAGGCCACCGAGATCAAAGGTAAACGTACGAAACACACGTGTTCAAGCGGCAGGCTACCGTCAAGCTGGAAATATCCCTAGTGTCATGGTGCTTCTCTTGCGTGTTCAACCAACGTAACTTAAATTCAATGTTTGAATGTATATGTTTTCGACCCTCTGAAGTTGAAAAATAAAAATAACGAAGCAATAACAGACCGAAAAAGAGAGAGAATCGCAAAAAGAATGACGAAATTCTAGTGATTTTCAGAAGAAAGCTAAAGCCATTTGTCCTCCAGGCTATTTCCCGTCCAGAGAAATTGTCAAACTGCCTCATATACCAACAAAGTAGATCCTAAAAAGGCACAAGGATATGAGGACTTTATATATTGGACCCTTAGGCAAAGAAAATTTCCTGTCAACATGTCTAGAAAATTTCCAAGACTATATTCATTAAATTCTATTATAAACAATAAAAAAAAGAAAAGTATTTTCACCCATGAAAATGACCCGTCATCTTCTTGTCGAAATGTAAATTACTTATTATCCTGCCTTTACTTCTTTTCCACTGGCAGTTCATTAATGGAACATGCAACGGTTAATGTAATTGCATAACGACCGACGAGTTATTATTAAAAAAAATTGTTTGAACATAAGAAAATTGGGTACTTGAAAGGCTTGGAAATATTTTTATACCTTTTATTGATGAAAGGAATTTTGTTTGATCAACAGAACCTAAACTCTATTAATTTTTATCGCTCTATTATTTACCCTTCATTTCCATCATAATCGTTAACTAATGAGTATTTTAAAAAAAATATATTTTCCAAAGCTTAATAAAATTATCATCAAAAAATTATTCTCGTGATAATTTATTCTGTATGTTAATTAGTCATGCAGAATTATAATTCATCGTTGAAAAATGTCCTGAAAGGTACCAGTGCTTCACAATAGTTTGAAAGTATCCATAAATTGCGTCAAAATCAGCTCTCATTACTTATTATTCATTCTTCTTTTGACAAATAAAAAAACAATTAATCCTCAAGTAATTTAGCAATATTTTTTTTCGCTGCAGGGAACTCATTTATCTGTTTATTTTGTTCGTGACGTGATCGGGTAAACCAGTACATAAATAATATTAACAAGGGTGTGTTAACAGAAACTGCAACGATATGGAAACTGGCATCATGCAATATATAATGTTTTTGCACGCCTTCGCGCCTTCCAAAGACGCATGACATAACTGCATGGGGTTTTTGTAATTTTATATATACCGTCGGAAGCGATTCACGTCTCACGAAATCACGCGCTGTATATTTTTATGTAAATGGGGAAACTTGTGTGAATTCTTTTCCAGACACTGTAGGGATTAGTATTCGAGAGGAGCATCGAAATGTTTTCGTATGCCGACTTGGTGGTACTGTCGAAATTCCACTATTCTCGACGTGATTCTCTCTTTATTTATTTTTACCTCAAACTTATATTTTATTAATTTCTCAGATAAATAATGCGACCCTAAGCCTGATCGTTTAGACATGAGATTGATGTCGAGAGAGCTGAATGTGTAGGTGGATTACAAATCCATTTGGCTTGAACCAATCAAATAGTGATTGAATCTTTGATCAATAAAAATGACGATTGAACTCAATGAAAAATACTAGAATAATTGGGTTTTTGTTACAGGATTTAACAATGGATAAAAATAATTGAAATTTTTTTCAATACATTTTTGCTTAATGCCAAAAAATCACTTCCTTTCTCTACACTGAGAGAAGAGATTTTTAGGAGTAAAAAATCATATCTTAATTATTAAACATAGCCTTATTAGTGTGCAAAAATATTTCTTAATTACTACGGAATATAATGTAACCAGTACAATCCATCTTTTATTCAAACATTTGAAATTTTATTTAAAATGCTGGTGATGTTAAACCCATTTATACCAAGGAAGAGTTTGACTTGGAATAAAATAAATTCAACTTTAGGAAAAATTATTTTCAAGTTTGATATTTTTAAATAAAAAGATGTTTTTTGTTGCTGTGAGTTAAAAAAAATGTTATTAAATAGAAAAAAATATTCTGCAAAATCTAACATTGCTGTACATAAACGATAAACGATCTTAGAACCATTCTCAATATTTATTTTGCTTGGAAAAATATTTTCAAATTTCTTTTACCTCTGGAAATATGAGGGTCGAGTGTGATTTAAGAGACGCGTTTAACGGCTCTGAAGATACTCATCGATGCGGAGGATAAATCGAAAAAATCACGCACTACAGGGTTGTGATGGCGGGTGAACGTTCAACGAAAAGCGGATTACATCCCAACACGATTTCATATAATCTTCCCTTGGCTACACGATTCTACTGCAACTGAAGCATTTTCCCTTGAGGAAAGAAAAAG